GCTAATGTAACATATGTTAACCCACTTAGGTTGTCTTAACACAGGTTCAGAGTTTAAAGATAACCTGAGTGAAACTGTTACGTTAATGTAACAGCTCTCATTCTCCGTTAAAGAAGCCACCGAGTCGTGTTTCAGTCTCATGGGACCTCGACAAACAGGGAACTAAAAGATGTTGGAAGATAAAACAAAAGATGTTGGACTGTGACTACATGGTGAATATGCATGATTAAACCCATTATTCACTATATGCCGGCTATAAAGAGCGTGAAATAGATTATGTGTTTTGCTTTTATTGAAAAAATGCCTAGTTGAAATATGTCTCAATAATCTTTTTTTTTTCTTTTTTCTGGCCTTAAGGCTAGGGCGGTCGTTAATGTGCCATTTCCTTTACCACGTTCTCCTAAGTTACACCTTACTTAATTCACTAGAATTCTCTGAGATGCTGGTTGTGTTTGCTTGACCTCTGGAGATGGGGCAGTTCGTGGTGATTGATGGACGGATAGAGACAGTGAGATGAACCTCCGATAGAGACTGTGCAAACAGAGGGGGGGGTGAAACCATAGCAGGACCTCATGAACTGCCACAGCTCTGAATTATAGATGTGAATGGAGAAATGGAGGCACTTTCCCCGCGTATACCCATCCTCTCACCTCAGTTTATGCACTTTTTTGCAAGCACACATAGACACACATGCTCTGTCATGCCTACTAAGCCAAAACAATATTCCTTCCTTGCAGCAAAGTCTGTGTGAAGCTGCGTACATGCACTTACTGCAACAATCTGAGCAGCTCTTGCATTTATACATAAACCCAACCTGGAGGTACTCATAAAACCTGTTTGCATCGTCATTTTCCCATGCCCTCACACCTTTCATAAGCCGTACCATTATTGAAGCATACTATGAAACCATGAAAATAACTGACAGAGAGGCCGTGTGTGAGCGTTATTAAACTCAAAGTATAAGAAAGTCCAAAGTCATTGGCAGGAACCACCTGTGAAGATTTGGCCTTCATATCCTGTATAAGGATGAGCGAGAGCTATTCACAATTTTTAAATGAAACGCAAATCCCCCTTTTAAACCAACAAAGCAAACTCAAAAGAAGATCCTAAAGTCTTGGGTTTATGGTTTATTTCGAGAGTTTCCCACTTTATGATTTACAGTCAAAGAAAAACAGAAACAAAAACAAGCAGCATCAAATGCTCATAAACACAATTCCTGTGTGTTTCTATAGTATTGTATCATAATATATATATTATAAGCCACAGGTATGTTCCAAATAAAATACTAATGCAAAATTCTTTTTAAAAAGTGGTATTTATGTGTTGTTAGTCAGCTACGAAGCCTATTTATTTCAGGTTTTTTTTTCTTAGATGTATTTTAGTCTTTTTTGGTTCCAAACGTCTCAGAAAATTACATATGCTCGCAGTGTGTTTATTTATAGAGACAATCGCTGCACTTGGCAGGTTTGTGAAGGAGGAATTGTGAATAAACACGAGGCTGAGAAAAATGACCTGTGAAGTGCCTCAGGACTGAAAGCGCGGGAGAACCTCCAGCTTCCATCCTCCCAGAATCCATCCAGTCCAGCAAACGTATGAAAGCCAATATGAAAGGCCGCTGAGCCGGCGTGAAAAGCAGCAGCAAGAAAGGAAAGCGGTCAGGTTGTGCACAATGACAGATTTACGCTTCTATTTGAGCCCTCAGAGGCCAGTAAAACCGCACGACCGAAGCATTTCATTCAGAAATGTATCTGTCCTAAAAAGATGTTGCATGCCTGCGTTTTTCTAACTCGATGTATGGAGGGAGACAAATCTTTTCAGCGTTGTGCTGCTCGTTTTTCTTATCTTCTAATTTTTTATGTTGAACTCGAGTGAGAATGTTCTGGGGTGTTAAAGTGGGAACTTTTCACTGCAACTTAAAGCATGACATTTCTGTCTGTGACCTCCAGTCTTCTGATAACAGACGGTGGATGTAAATGGAAATGCAGCTTTTATGTGCTCACCGTTCCCATTCATCATCCCTCCCTCAACGTAATGTTGTCATCCCTTTTCACAGAGATATCCACTGATGGACTGGATCCTTCCCACATAGATCACTCATGGCTTCCTTTCTTTCTTTTACTAAGGAAATAGTTGATGATCATGAAGTTGACCTCAGGATTATTTTGGAGTTTTTCCAGCACAAAGATTTATTTATTTTTTTTATGGAAAAGAGAAAAACCTCTCCGCCTGAAAGCTCAGAGCAGAAGGACACTTTGACGGGGCTGAGGTAATGATGGTCTGGTTGTTGTTGTTTTTTTTGGTTTGTTTGTTTTTTTTATCTCTCCCCATGGTGCTTGTTAGGTGAGCCCATCAGATTGCTCAGAGGATGCTTGTTGTGTTGAATATGCAGAGTCCAAATTAGACAGTGCTAGTCTTCACTTTTTTCTGAGGAGATCCACTTCTCATAGAGAGCAGTGTCCAAAAACTCAGACACGCAGACTGAGTGGAGCTCTGCTTTTTCTCGGGTGCTTTGAAAAACAAAGGCTTTCAAATTTCTTTGGAGTGGCAGTGATTAATTTTTCATTCCAACCGTAAAACTGTTTAGCTGACGTGTTGACATTTTTAAACCCAAAACCACCAAGTGTGAGATTTCTCGAACTGAGCGGTGTCTGCTCATGTTTGTGTCTGTAAAAGCTCGTGCTGTTTACCCAATCACACCGTCTGTATGCGCTTTAGCCGGAGTCAAGGCCAGGCGTTCATTTTGGAACCACCTCTCGTCTGAGTGCTGACACAATTATGTGTGTGTTCCCCCACCTACCGGGTCTGTGCAACTTGTGTTTTTCTATATACTGTTGTGCTTACTGTGCCAAAATGCACAGCACAAATTAAAAGTGACACATAACTTGTGCTGGGAACAGCTTGTCATGCTGCTAATCTGTTTCACGCATCGACAAGGCAAATTTGGATTTGGTCTGTCTGTAATTGCCTTGGTTGCATTGCATCATTGTTAGATGCACAGTTGCCGGAAGATTGACACTGACCCAGACCGATGGCTCTGTTCCTTAAGAGGTTGGTCAGTGGTGTTGGTGTGAGTACACGGGAGAATATGTTTATTTTATTCTTTTTATGACCCTAAACCACATCTGACCATCTAACTTTGAGACTTAAACAGTTTTAATTGTACTGTGGAATCCTTGGAAGACTTCAAAATGTGTTAATTGTACATATTGCGCAACTGATGAAGTTTTGGATTTCTGATCCTCAGAAAGAGATAGATATGAGCTCAAATGATGATTTATAGTGTTGTTATTCACTGAAATAAAACTGATCTGATATGCTGAGATTATGGGAACAATTAGGGACACAATCCCTACTTTCTCTGCAGTTGAAAGATTAGTGGGATGCTGATCAGATGTGATTGGTTAATTGATCATCAATAAGTGTGGGCACCTCTGTAAAGAAGAAAAGAAAGAAAGAAAGACAAAATAATGGCTTCTGTCAGCTCTCAGAAATGTCAGCAAACGTTGCCGTGTTGAACTTTGGCACACAATGCATGCTTTCATCTGAGGCGAGGGAAGCAAACATGACCAGTAAATACAGACTTGGTGGTCTTTATGCTCAAATTCTGCTCTGCAAGTCAAAAGCTTACATAAAAATGTTTGTGTGTACTGCACATTCTTTGTGGCGTCCTTTTCATAGTATTTGTAGTAATGCATTTCTTCCAGTTTTTTTGCACTGTACCTCACGTGAAAGTAGTTAAGTTGGTCAAGTGTGACAGTGCACACACACACACACACACACACACAGACACAGATGCCCATGCAACACTTTAAATTGAAAGCATTTACCAAGAAGTTCTTTTTCCCCCAGACGCTCCTTTGATGGTCGCTCCTTGAGGCTTTTGATCACTGGGATCCCTCTCCCAAGCCTACAAACTAAATGTTTGAACTGCATTTGACATCCAGCAGTCTGGACTTTCCCAAAATCTCCAGGACAGCAGGTTTGGCCCTAAATTCCTACTGAATCAGATTTTGTTTGGACAGTGTCATTTTCAGTCAGTATTTTTCCTTTAAAGCCTGGGTGTGAAATGCAATTCAGACACTATTACAAGAGACATTAGACCCCCCCAAGGTATCAGTTTCAACTTTCTGTTGTGTTAATACAGCAATTCAAACCAGAATAATAAAAATAAAAAAAACATACACATACCCGCAAAAGGTTTCTGAGAAATTTCAACACATTCCAGTCCTTTGCTGACTTTTCTATCCCATTACCCAGTGCTGTGTAGCCCCTTCATTTCTGAGTCTGGCTCCATGGGTTGGACCCTCACCGTGTACAGTCATGAGTTTTTGCTTGATAAAACGGACACACATCTCCAGTTGAATGGATCATCAGTCTGTTGACGACACAAACGTCTGGTTCCAGTAACCCATTTCTCATCAACATGTTATGGACTGCTGTCTGAAAGATAGCGACTCCTTCCCTTCGAGACGCACAGATCCATCGTCTCAACTTAACAACCTCAAAATATACAAGACCTGGGGCAGATATTTGTTCATGGGCAAAACCTTAAACATTCATGTCGAATTTTTAAAGAAAATGGCAATAAAAATCATATCAACACTGAATATCTTTGTTAGTACGAATAAAATATCTCCATTGTCATATTTTCCATCTTTTTAAACTACATTTATGAATCGATTTATCTGTTTCCTATCATATTTTTTCACAGGTGCGCTTTTTGGTCATGTTTCCTAACTTGAAATTCAGCAGGTTGTTTCTGTGAGGCGTTTGAGTGAAAGGAAGTTCACCTCGTGCAGCCATTCATCAACACACGAGCTCAGGCTCACGCATCCTGTTTTCAATTTGATGTCAGCTGTAACACATAGAAAACTCCATGAATTTAAAAACTCCACCCTGTATATTATCTGACAGGCAGGATCGCAGGGGAGAGGAGAATATTACAGCAATAGCCTGGCAAGAGCTGTTGGCATGAACACATTGGAATAATCTCTACAGTCATGTCTTGGCTTAGAGGTGCCAAGGTGTTCCTGAGTCTGCACAGAACACCCACACGATGTCGGCAGTTGCTCCGTTCGTAAGTGCTTTTCTATATCAAATTGGTGATGGGTTGTTTCGGCGAGATTTGGTTGGAGCTGGTGAGTCCCCACCCAATTCACCTCCTGCTGCTACTCCAATTTCCTTTTTATTAATAAGTGTGACGCTTTTCATTAACCGAACTGGCTACTTTTTTCTGTGGAACTCTCCCTTTCCATTTCTCAACGTGGTGGGTTAGAGGACGAGATGTGTTTTCAGTGCTCACTTCCTCCCCAATGGATTTTTTTTTGCCGGGCTTCACGGGGAAACCACGGAGCGGGGAAAAGGAAAAGGGCAAACGTGATGGAAAATTAGAGATGACAAATAAACTGGGGAATTGAGAGAGATGAAGATGAGATCTGACAGTGGGAGATGAAGTGGTGCATTGCTCTAGTAATAACATCACAAGCCACCGGCTTTCACCTCATCTTCTCTCCTTTGATATCTTTGCACATCATACCATCTATTTCCTCTTTTCCCTGGATGTGGTCCTTTTGAATTTCTGGCAGATTGTCTGCTGGAAAAGCAATCTATCTCTGTCTATCTCGGAACACATATGTTGTTTGTTTTTTTATTTGTTGTTTTCACATCTGACAAAACAGAAATATTGTATGTAGAGTTACAGAATATAATACTTTTTCTTTCTTTCTTTCATTAATTTTTTTTCTTTGATGTCAATAACACTTGTTGTAATTTATATTCCAATAATTCAATCTTTTTTCTTAGATGCATTTGTGTTTTCTGCTTGTTTGCTTGTATGCATTCACTGTCTTAGTTGTGCCATCTCAATTTCCCCCCTCATTTTTTAGTCTTCAGACTTTAGTTTGATCTTTTCTCAACCAACTGTTATTTAGCAAAAGTAGATAAGTTATTATAAAGTTATTTGAATAAAAAAACAACTAGAATTGGGGATGGATCGGCAGTCCAAGCCAACAGATGGTTAGATAAGCCCATTTACACCTGCTAATCATGACATAGCTGTGTCTGCTTAATCATTTATATTTTATATCTGTTTGCTATGCCAACTGGCCAGCTGTCATACCAATACTTCCTGTCTTTCTCTCTTTTTTCCCTTCATAAATTATAGTAACAAAAAGACTGTTTAAGAAGTACCTGCGAGGATGCTAATATTAAAGCTGCATTTGTAAACACAGTATTTGGAAAGCAGAATCCGAAGCTCCTTCTCCCGTCTCTGTTCTTAGCCACTCTGAGTACATGTCAGAGGCGTTCACTACAACCTGCGTTGATCATTGAAGGAGAAAATAAGATGTAGCTACCTGGATAGCAGACGTGCTGCATAATCATACTGTTTTTAGGTTTATTTTAGGTAAAAGTGATTTGGATTAAATACTCGGGATCAGCTTAGTGATTTTGTAACCTAAACAAGAGTCACATGACCGTATTCACCACCACAGAATCAGTAACTTCTGATTTCAGAGATCTCTCTGTATTTCCTACTAAGTTGTTGACATGCTTTGGACTCACTTTTCCTCAATTTCATTTTTCATTTGCATACTTTTTTTGTATGCTGTTGTCGCCAGTGCGGGGATTGTGGCTTCCCAGCATGCACTGGCACTCATTTGCAAACACATGCTGCTGCAGCTGCCTATGTGGAGCAGCCAGTAGCAGCTCCCCGCCCAACAGGACCAGGGATTCAGACACACCATATTCACAAACATTTCTGCAGGCTGAAAAGGAAGAGATGCATCGGTATAGCTGACCTATCTGCCCAACGAAGTTGCAGAGTGCATTACAAAAAGTTTTTGCCAAGTGAAGCTTTAAATAGGAAAGAAAATCAATTTCTTTTTGGCTACTAAAAACACCCTCCGGTCCCTACTGCACCCTTGATTTAGAATTTTACACTTTCTTCGACATACATTATTTGTTATTCTGATAGATTGTACGATCACACATGTCCTGTTACTACCAGGTGTAAATGTAATTTTTAATAACTTGAAATATTTCCACAGATGTTCACCAGATATTTTCTGGTGAACATCTGTGGGCTCTACGGTCCAGAATTTCTTTCCACTTGCCGTTTTCAAACAAAGAATTTTGCAGCAGAAAATGTTCTGCTGGAGATGTGCCCTCACAGCTGCAAATGCTACACTGTGACATCTGAATACAGGGCATATCACACAGGACGTGATATGAAAACTTGGTTTCACTAAACATTTCAGTATTTCACATTTGCTCAAACCGGAAATTAAATTTGTGTAAATACTAAAATCCCAAATCCTATGAGAATCTACTTCTTTCTCAACAAAGTAAACTATCCTTTAGCCACATGACTTATAGTCGTTGTGAAAAATCGCCCTCTATTTTATAGTTTCAAAGGAAATTCTTACTCTCACATTTAGGTGAGATTATCAGATTATAATAAATTAATTTATTATCCAGGCAGCAAGAACTATCTTCTACCTTCTGAGGCATTTTGTATCTCTAAATCCTAAATCTTCAGACTTCTTACCTAATAGAAATAACAGACTACAAGGATGTAATGCAGGCTCCGGGGTTCTGTTTCACTCCCACACATTTCTCCTGTTATCTCGACTATTTTGCAAACTATGGGAGTGGAGTGTTCCCTTTTTTTGTGTGTTTTTTTGTGGTATTCTAAATTTTGCATACCTTTTCTTTTTCTTAAATGAATCACGGGACACACTCAGAAGTCAAAACTGCTGACCATATTAAAGCAATAATTCCAGAGAACGATACTGTGGAGGGGGTGTGGCGCCAGGGGAAGTGATTAAGCACACCTGGAACCAGTTGGCTAATCACTCTCCCCTTTAAGTGTGTGTGCGTGTGGCACACACGCTCAAATAAACCTGTTACCACGAATCTTGGTCTCTAAAAGACTCTGTCGGGGCACCCACGGTGGCACGACCGCCACAGATACGTTTTTTGGCAAATTCATTTTTCTGTAATATCTCTCTGCTCCTTTCCCTTTAGGATGAAAATGCGGCGGCATAGAGTGTTCTTGCTGTGCACGGTGGGTCTGTGCGTCATCTCATTTCTTCACTACTACAAGGCCCTCCACTACGTCTCCCTGCTGCGAGAACTCTCCGCTCCATACCCCAACATCAAGTCCTTCATCATGGTCACCGGTTTCTTCTGGAGGGAGAAGGGAGCAGCAGCCACCCCGCTCAGCCCCGCCTCCCCCGAAGAGGCCCCTCCCTTACCTGCCCTCCGCCACTCGGACATTAAACCCAGCGGAGGGGCAGGTCCCGGAGGAGGTGGTAGAGGGGGAGGGTTGGACCTAGAGGATCAGGGTACCGTGATAGGAGGACCTGGCATCGTTGGCCACGCGGGGCTTGAGATGCAGCCGAGAGAGGAGCCAGAGCCTCCCCATCCCTGGGAAAAACCAGCGGAAAACCAGCTGGGAGATCCACCAAAAGAGGTAAGATTGGTTTACAGTGATATCATTTTCCCTGAGAGAGTAAACAATAAGCAATCTTCAATGTAACATAAAGTCTTCATAGTCAAAAGAACTGTGACAAAAACAATAAAAAAGATAATGATGATAGTAATACGTTCTAACGTATACCCACATTGTTTTCATCTGGGCCTTCAGACAAGGAAAACAGCTTTGAAGTCACATTTGCGCAGCACATGCCTGTGTGAACGACTAACTACAAGATGCTGAGAAGCCAACCAGCCTTGACTTTTTAGAGAACATAATTGCTATAAAAGCCAACATTGTATTGGGGTTTTAATTGTGGATGCAGCGCGGTGCTATTCTCGTGGTTTTTTTTTTTTTCCTCCGCTGCAGTTCTCTGGTTTTGTAAACCCACTTTAAATCCACTTATGTTTTTTACCCACATGTGATAAGTGTTACTTGCTGCCATATTACTAAGCAACCTGTCAACACAGCAGAAAAGCCTGCAGCCCTTTTCCTGTTACATTATATGAATCCGCTGCTCTTTAAAATACATGTCGAAAACATGCTGGAGGTATAAAAAGCTTTACACTGGCACATGTTGTTCTTATTTCTGTTTATAATATGTATTGAATATATCATTTGAGGCAAGCTCAGACTGTATCAACTTTCGCTTAAAGATTCATAGCAACTTTGATTAGAAAAAGGTGTCAAATAAAGAGCTTTAGAGTTAAAATAAATGTTTTTAGCGTGTAGATTTATGCTTAAAACATTTATTTTAAGAACAAATTAATATGCACATCTTGGTTTCATCAGTTAGACATTCTACAAGGAACCCTTTAACTGATCACAGGAACTCTAATATGTTTATTGCTTTACTCACATTCAGATGGACTGGACATAGATATGCATTTGCTCACTTAACTTTGAAAAGTCATTTTTTGTATATAATTTGTAACCATCCCCATTCCAGAGAAGAGCTGAGGACCACCATCCAGAACCTATTGGGCCAGACTTCCAGGACCAGCCAAGAAAAGAGCACAAAGTGGTGTTCCATAGGGATCAGCAGTCGGACCCCTCCTTGGGGGACATTCACACTCGCACTCACCTGCTTCAGAACGATAAAACGGCTTACTTTGTCCGTACCAAAGCGGGAGCCCTTTGCTTCAGGCAGGGCACCGAGGTGGCCGCCTCCAAGGAGTACTCTGTTAAATCAGCGGCGGCGGCGCAGAACGAGGCGGGGGAAGCGGTCCGTGCTGCTGCCGCCGCTGCCCAACGGAAGCCTCTGGAACTCCAGCAGAAGCCCTCCATCACTCCGAAGGCCAAGCCGCGATCAAGAGGCAACGGGAAGCGGCTGGTCAAGTGCGTTTGTCGGCCGGGGTGGCACGGACCTTACTGCGGGGTTCCCACTATGGTTTACCACTCCAATTTGCCAACGAAGGAGCGACTGACCCCCAGGGAAACGCCACGGAGGGTGATCAATGCCATCAACATCAACCATGAGTTTGACCTGCTGCACGTGCGCTTTCACGAGCTCGCACAGGCTGTAGATTTGTTCCTCATATGCGAGTCGAACTTCACGGCCTATGGAGAAAGGCGGCCTCTGAGGTAAGACGATGTGTTTTTTTGTTTTTGTTTTTTCACTTGCCGATGAAGCATGTACATGTGTGCAGATTAGGAAAAAAATTGTGTTTAATCCTCTGAGCTGTTCTGAGGCCACTGGCTGATTCTTCTTTTGTAACAGCATTGTGTTGTTAAATGGAATACACGCTCGGCAAACTTTAAGCTGGATTAAACCCAGCGTGGTAGGACATGTTGCGCGGTGCTATGAAGCAAAGAGTATTATCACATGAAATTAAGTTCATGCTGTGTCATCATCTGAATAATGAATGAAGGAAATTTGTGGATGTGTGTGTTTGTGTGTCCTTTATTTTTCCCAATCTATTTCAAACAGTGCTGCTCCCTTGTTGGGGACAAAGCCCTTTTTGGAGTATGAAGCCTGTGGTTGAGGGGTAGTGTTAAAATGACCTCATAATGATGTCAGCAGTTCAAAAATCACACACTTATAACATATGTAATACGCATTGGACGCAATGACCCTCTAAAGCCTGAAGGTAACCATAAAAACTTGACACTTTGACTAAAATCCTTAATTCTTAATATCGGCCAAAACTACAGATAAGAAAAAATTATGATACATTCATGCACACTTGGTATTTACAGTGAAAGTATTGCTGTTGTAATCAGTTTTAATAGGTTGCGCGCTCCTGATTTACTGATTTATTAGCAACTGAAAATGACAAGTGTGCACAGTCTTTGTACACACTTGTCACTCTTTGTACACTGCCACCCTTCAGGCTTCTTGGGAATCAATGGGCTGAATAACAATTACAGCAAGACTCCTTTTGGCAACTGCGTGGCTCACCTTGAGAGCAATTTTACGGCAGATAATGACGATCAACATGACTGACTCTGCGTGGAGCTTTGAAAGGAGAGATTGGTGTGTTCAGTCATAGGATGAGACACAGCATGAAGGCAGCTAAATTCAGAGAACACGTGTCTTTTGCTATGCACATTGACGGGTTAATTGAGTCGTTCTTTCTGCTAGTTTGGAATATAAAGAGGGGATTTTCAGTTTTGGAAACTGTCACATGTCTAGTACGGTGCTGTTTTAGTATTTTTAAAGTGTTCCTGGAACCTCAGGTTTTAGATTTGTCAGAGCTGGCAACGATTTAAATTAATATAGGGTATAAACAATAACAAAAATTGTAGAATTGATTTCCTAAAGCTCATATGTTATTAAAACATCATGTTTTTCCTGTGCCTGAAAGCATGTATTTGGTTTTCTCAAGACCATGCTAAGTTAAAAACACAACAAATGCATTTGATGGCCCCCTGATTCTCAAACTGTAGATTTGATTTGAAGGATTAAAGTACATCTCATCGCAAAGTTATCCAGACTCCTTTCCCCTTATCTCTGCCAAGGAATAACTTTTGTGTTCACTGTAAAAACTGTGTGGTGAAAACTGCCTTTTGCTTTGCTATTGATATCAAATATAATCAGTAATTACACAGTTCTAAATACGTTAAATGTGCACATAACACTACACTATTTCTTTAATTGAATGTTTAACGTAATCAGACAAAAAAAAAGTAAAGGAAAGTAAACATTGGTGTAATAAAATGTTAATGATTTTCCTAAGTCGTATTAATAATCATCATAGAGCCCTTCTGCTTTTTAAACAGCTTGGCCCTGATAAATGAATGAGACTCAAACTGAATACATTCAAATAGGAACCTGTAGACTACCAGCTTTCCATATTTAAATCTCTAGATGAGGACAGTCATGGGAAACAATAATGCTGAACAAGCAAAGGGGATGAAAGTTTCTCTAAAACAATATATCCAAAGTAGTTATGGAGAATTATACTATTTATATATTCATTTGTATAGACCAAATGTAAAAACAAATTGTCATGAATCACAACACAGCTCATGCAACAAATAAGAAACTTGTCAGAAAAGTACAGGTGACAGTCTACTGTGCATTACAAAAAGAGCACAGTTTGACTTTGACAAAAAAACGACAAAATTAAATAAACATGTGGGACCTTAAACAATCAAACAAATTGCCTCACAGTGTCGTAAAAGACTAAAAACCAGCAACTTCTAGGCATCTGTAGAGAAGATACCTGGCAACAAGTGTGAGCCGCGCTTTAATTTAATTCCATTTTTTGTTTGTGTTTGTAATCTTCCCAGTTTCCTGCGGCTCCTCCTCAATGGCACGTATGACTACATACGTCACAAGATTCTATACGTATTCCTGGACCACTTCCCAGATGGGGGTCGGCAGGATGGCTGGATCGCAGACGACTATTTGCGCACCTTCCTGACACGCAACGGGATGTCCAGAGTGCTGGGGGCCAGGTCGGACGATGTCTTTGTCATTAATGACGCGGATGAAATCCCAGCCCGCGAGGGCCTCCTTTTCCTCAAGCTGTTCGACGGTTGGACAGAACCCTTTGCCATCCACATGCGCAAGGTACTTGCAAAGCATTGCTCCGTGCTTGACCGGTAATTGTTTGACTGTTAACCTTTCAAGTAGATAAATCACCCTGTTTTGTGCTCTTTTCCCTCCTTGTCCAGTCGTTGTACGGCTTTTTCTGGAAGCAGTTTGGGTCCCTGGAGGTGGTTTCGGGCTGCACGTTGGGCATGCTCCGCGACGTCTACGACGGCGACGGCATCAAGCTGCGGCGGCGGGAATATTACACCATGCCCGGCTTCCGGAAGTACGAGAACGACACGGGCCACATCCTGGTCCAGTGGTCGGTGGGCAGCCCCTTCCACTTTGCCGGGTGGCACTGCTCCTGGTGCTTCTCGCCCGAGGGGATCTATTTCAAGCTGGTGTCGGCGCAAAACGGAGACTTCCCCCGATGGGGCGACTATGAGGACAAGCGTGACCTCAACTACATCCGCGAACTGATCCGGACCGGGGGCTGGTTTGACGGCTCCCTGCAGGAATATCCCCCCGCGGACCCCAAAGAGCATATGTACGCCCCCAAGTACATGCTGGAGCACTATGACAGGTATCGCTACCTCCTGGAGAACCCTTACATTAAAGTGTCCAGACCGAGTGAGGACTAGTGGATCGGCTGGACTGAAATATGTGAAATAAGGAGTACGGCCCCGGGGAGGCCTCGGCACCGAGCTTTGCTAATGAAATGGTACAGATGACCATCTCTCATTGGAGCTAAGTGTGTTTCCACACAGACAACTCTGTGGAGGGATAAGTCATTATTTTGGGTTAAAAAAAGGGAACACTGAATCACACCGTTCATGCATTCACAGAGAGCATCGGCAGGTTGTGATCACTGGAGAAACTAAATCAGAGATTTCCCTGTTAATGGAAAGGCAAAGCTATAACTCTTGTCGTCATCTTGGCCATCATCTCCTTTCTTCCCTCACCTTCCAGTTGGACACAACTGTTCTCTAAAGGAAAGGGGCAGCTCAAAAAAAAAAAAAAGCCAGGGATATTTTTGCAGGAATGTTTAACCTGTGGAGAGGACAAACTCTGAAGTGAAGGACTGTTTTATTTTTGTTTGTTTTGTTTTGTGTGTGTGTGCGTGTGTGTGTGTGTCTGCGTTTACTGAAGTTTACAAGCCAGCTGATGTTCCTGCTTCACTCACCACCTTCAGATGTCTTCCTGTCGCATTTAGTCATCTCCCTCCAAAACGTGACTCGCGTGCACGTTTCACGTCGCGTTATTCTTGGGTCTCTGACGCCTCCTCAAACCCTGCCACGTTAGAGGAACGACCAGTGGGCACGCACAGGCGCCCACTCATGACATGCACCTTAGACGATTCTGTGTAAACGGTGTGCGCAGGAAACACTAAGAAAGGAAGATTCCCGTGGAGAAGAATATCAAAGAGTGGAACGGCGCGAGTGTGGAAGTGTGTGGACGTGTTTGCCGGAGCTTACGGATAGATCTGAATAAATTATGCTCAGCTCCATTATCGTGCGTCCGATCGGAGAACAATCGGGACATGATCATCACTCATTTTTTGTGTCCGGCTTTGTTTCCTTGGAAACTAGCATATGTGAAAAGGGAGACAGGATCACTTTTGCTAAGGCGAGTGGGTGGGTTCAATCCACTGAAGTAGCTGCAATGTTCAGATGAGGTCAGCACTGCAAAAGTCCCCTTAGTAAGAAATTCAGTTTTATAATTGCATCTTATAAAAGGAGTCTGACAACGAGTCCTACGCTTCACCTGTTTCCCTGGTCTTGTCCTTTCCCTTTTAGCATCACTACAGTCTGTTTTTTTCTGTTTTTTTAAATTATCTGTAGTCTTGTCTCTCTTGGCTTGCTTACCCCATCCCTTCTCAATGGGACAGGGTGTCTGTTAACATAGTGATGCTCTGAGATCACCAACATATGACCGTTTAGGCTCCTGCCTCCTGTCTCCTCCCGGCAGTAAACAGCTGTTCACATAGCCGGAGGCTCAAATTCCCAACAGAACTGTTTCGTGGGCGGTGACGGTGTGGACAATTCAATGTACCTTTTCCCTTTGGGTACATTCGAAGTAGGGTTGGCTTTGTCCTTGCACAGAGCAGGACAATAATGACAGTGATGTTTACAGTAGGACTGAGCCGTAGGAAGACTGAGACAAGGAAAAGGCAAACACAAATCGATATGGATGCTTGGACTAGATTTACCACCTGCTTTTTCAGTTTCTGTCTGTGTAACTCGGCTTATAAGCAGATGATAATTAAATCACAGGCCTTAACAAAATGAATAAAAATGTTTCAAAGCCTGAACAGGCTAAAGTCTGATAGAGTAGGTTATTATTTAATTCAGATATTAAACGCTGGTCAAATTGATCCAGTATCTTCAGCCTTATTATCTTCATGCTTGTCATCTAAAATCTTTTTTATTAAATCCATACATTAGCCAAGTTTAATGGGTGGTATTTTCGAATCTTCTGACCACTTTCCGGCTCTCTGTTGATCACCTTAATGGCTTCGCAAATGGCTAATCGCACGGTGGGAAAATGAGATAAGCCGGTAGGGGACTTGACAGTTGTTTGGTCTGTGCTGCTGGCTCGACGGCAGCGTGGTCTGTGGCAGCAGCTGTTTCTGGTTTGGCATTGGTCTCCAGAGCCAAAGTGTCCTCTAAATCCAGAGGCTCTACAAAGAAATGAGCCCTAAATAGAATTTGAAATGGGACAAACACAAAATATAGTCAACATTTGTCTAAAAATTTGATTTCTTACCTTTTGAAAGGTTGATTTGTCATAATTGATGGAAGAACAATTAAATGGCTTGCAAAGTGAGATAGGTGGGAACCTGATATCCAGTGCATTTTCCAGATTGTAACTAATGACGATCCATCTTTAACTCAGCCAGTGGCTCTTCATTTATGTGTCCCACTGTTCGAAGGGATTTTTGGCATTCCAGGAAAAGGGACATGTTATTGATTATTATCTCAAGCTGTTCACACAGAGTACACCAAACTATTTAATCTGATTTTCACTAAATAAATACAGCTTCCCCACATCACTCAGATACTGAGGTCTCAAACCACAGTAAATAAATGAAGTCCCTCTTCATCTTGTGTCGGGAAAACTTTTTCGGCCCCGCCCGTACGCCTTTTATTTGCCAACAGGACAGAAAAAGCTTTTCAGAAATGCAATTGTGTCCCATCAAGGGTTGGGTTGGATAATTGCGCTTAAGCTCTGCCAAGAGGCATTTAACCCAACTAACTCCCTATTTTCAGCTGGCTGTAATCAGACAGCACATCGAGTGAACAACGCACGCGTTGTCATATCTAGACGTGTTTGTGTGTCTGTGTGCATATAGTCAACAGGCGTCTGGCTCGTGCCAAATAAGGGTGTCGGCGAAACGCAAGCCAGGGTTATTTTGCTTTGCCTGCTGGTTCTGTATCACCATGGCAACGCCCCCCCCTTCTTAGTTCCTGAGATCCCTAACAGCCTGAGGTCATCCATCAAAATTGCAGGCCAGTAGTCTAAATGAACAAGTACAGACAATCCTAAGAAACATTTTCTCTGGTTGAGTTGTTTCTGAGCATTTATAAAGATTCTTTGTATCTGTTCTGATCCTGCTCAGTAGATTGGAGATAACCATACTGCTCTTCTCATTTAATCAAACCACAAGTCAACCTACAACTACAGTTAGTCTGCAATGAATTTAAAAAATTGAGAAAGAAGGAAAAACTAATGATGCAAAAGTTACATTTTAGGAACACAGTCGACTGAACATTTGTTTTAAAGTTACAATAATGAAACCCTCATCTAGGTATCAAGAAGGAATCAGGTTTTAGATAAAGGCAAAACCTTAATTTCCAGTCTTTCTATGTTGTGTAAAGGATATTTGCAGTGGGACAGTTTGTAGCTACGGCAGTTAAATGAACAAACGCAGCAGCATTTAGGTCAGTCTGTTTTGTTGCCGTCCAGAGACAAATCTGATCCTGTATAGATTGTTTTTTTACGCTCCGTGAAATCATTGCAGCCCCCGTGGGCCCCTGACAAAGTAGCCGAGGCAAGTTAGCCTTCCCCTCAACGTTTATTTTACTACTGCTGCCTTGCTTTGAAGCTCCAGGAAAAGAGAGAGCTGCTGGCTATACCGGGGCATTTTCCATCGTAAAGGTTTCATGTTATATTTAACAATTGTTTGAAATATTTGACCAAAGAGGCTCTGACCCATCAGGTTTGAGATGCAGACTGCAGGCTGCGGTAAACAAAGCTGCTTTCTCCTTCCCGGGTGGAACAGGGACAATTAATTAGGTGCAAACTGTAAAACATTAAATGAGATGGAGTGATCCTGCTGCAGACGGGTTTGGAGTTGGGTTGCTAGGAAACAGCTCAGTACGGGCTCTAGATGCTCATAGTTATTGATATTGCCAACAGGAAATGACAATGTGGAAGGAGTTACATTTTGGAGTGGTATCAATTTAGCACGTACGCTCTACGGTGGGTTGCTGACCTTCTATATGCACGCTCTCAGATATACCGTTTGTCAGGTCATGTGGAGTTTTTTTTTATATTTTAGTTGATTTCACAGCCTTAGTATAGTTAGTAAATTATTACGTTTTCACAATTTACCAAAAACAGAATCGGAAATAATTTAAAACTCCCCATTATTGGCATAACCCTCATCTAAGAACTTTCACACCAAGCATCAATACATGTTTGGAGCGTTCAGCTGCTCGTGCGTTTGGTCTCCGCATGACCTACAGGGCTGAATAGCTCACAGATATCTGACCGGCTGCCTGAAGGGCTCGCATACCTTCATGACTGTTGATCCCTCCCAAAGCTGTGGCTTCCACCAATTGATCTTTTAAAAAAAAAAAAAAAACTGGCAGCAAGCAGGCCGGAAATCAAAGAAAGGCGGGTGTGGGGTACAGAGAAAAGAGGGGCCATTATACTCCAGGTTTCACTTTGACTTTGCTCTTCAAGGAATTTCTCTGGTTTATTATTATGAATGGCGAAGACTGTAAACAGGGATTTTAAGCTTCAAACGCAGGTCACCCATCAGGCTTTCACGTGGGCTGTAAACATTTCCATGATTCTCACCATGAAAGACACACATTCAGCAAAGAGAGCCATCAAATTTCCAGTTGTAAAAAATCTGGTATCTGCTTTGTAACCATTCTAATAGAGTAATGGCTATCAGTAATCCCTACTTCTACATGTATTTAATGATGACATCTGTTATATAGGGTGTAATTGAACACCTTTGGCAATACACCTACCAAAGAAGTAATAATTGTATTATAATTCATATGATTTGTTTGGTATTGACTTCCGTTTGTTTTTCTGAATTAACCAAACATTTTTTTCAAAATGTTTGGATTGCTTTCCTATTTCTATTCAGTTCAGCTATAAGTGGAGGGTGATTACTCCAAACCGGACAAATGAAACCAAAACTGCGGGAAAAGTACAAATAGACATTCAAGTAAAACTTTCCATCTGCTCACAGTCTTATAGAGGATTAAATAAAAAAGTATATTTATAAAATAAAAAAAGGGTATAACCTCAACTATTTAAATCAAGTGGCTGATTGATAGATAGATACACAGACAGATATAGTTTTATCTGGATTTCCAAACTTTTCATCTCTGTAAAGATATCAGGTTTTAGCATACAAATGTTTCATGAATCATCCAAAGTGTGTTTGCATGAGTATATGAATAGTGTTTGTTAGTCACAACACTTTCAAATGTGTTCCGGGACAGATTTTTGGCTTTGGGGAAGGGTATTAAGTCGAATCAGTCCAAGAGTCCATATGTTGTGACACCACAGATCAAAAGGATGAAAGCCTGAGTCACACGTCAGAAACACATGGATGCAGTGACACATTCAGAACGTGCCTGAAAAGGTGCGCAAACAGACCGGCCGGCACATGGCTGCAGATCAGATGCCATCAGAAACCGGAGGGGAGAGATGAGCACGTGTTTGACTGACTAGTATTCATGTCTAAACCAGCAAATTAAAGGGAATTCACCATTTTTGGATGGGCCCATGATGGTAGTAACATATTTTAATTTATGTCAAGAGCACCAATAATGAGACTTTTCTGTGGTCTTCGGATAAACCAGGCTGGTTCGCTGAGGAAATGTCACCTTTTAATCACAGAAAGGTTCGTCCATTGTTTACTTGCATTTGGGCCAGCTGGCCAAAGAATTGGCAGATCTGGGCACTCTCACACTGTTACAATGGACCGATGCTCTTCAGCTGATTCTGGGACATCATTCATGCCACATTTGACCTAAGCTATTTCCACAAGTATGCCCATTGTAACGGGACCAAAAATAGTGTTCACAGTCTGATTATCCATGAAAAGAAGCCTATTGAAAACAGCACAAATTATTTCAGATCGCTGCCCTCCAATTAGAAAAAGACTCAGAGTTTACTATCCGCAAACCCAAGGTGTCATGTAAAATTGTCATCACATCTGTGTAGTTTTCTTCCTTTTCGTGTCGTTTGCATGTGATCTACCTGAGCCTCCTCGCAAAACTCAGAAAACTTTTCCTTTTGCACTATGACCTTAATTCAGACAAAGGCAGAGAAACAATAGATGGTGGGGTTAGAAGAAGGGCAAATGAAAGGGGAAGAAGCATATGTGGGGGGGGTAGTGCGAGCCCCATGAGGGTTTTGAATTTCCTGCAATCAGAAACAAAAGCAGAGCTGGGAAGAGGAAAAGAATGTTCCTTACAATCATACTTTCCGCATTTGCTGTCTCAACCCTTTTTGTTTTGGTTTGCACTTGTTTTTTTGGTGTCTTGTTACCTTCATTTTTTAATGTCTTTTTAAGGAACTGAGTGTGTGTATGTGTGTGTATGAATGAATGTTTAGGTTCACAAGCACTGTCACAGCCTACTGCTATATTAGACCTCCAATGCACCTCAGAGATCTTTTACCGACGGGCATATGCGTTTGTTGTCCTGATAAAGATATAGATACATGATACATGCTCATATAGATGCAAAAACTACAGTCTCTGATTTTGTGGTGGCCACTTCTTCTGCTTTTCCAACAGCCAGACTACTGTAGGCACTCTGTTAGTGCCCTCGCTATGATGTGATCTCTGTGAAGGCTTTCCATTGTACGACTAAAACATTTTTTCGTCACCGCTCAGCCTCAGTCTGGCACAAAGCAAAGGGGTGCCATTGTGATGCTTTTTTGTGCGTTCTTTCCCTCCAAAATAGACGAAGATGTAAAAAAACTACAAAAAAAAATCTGGTGTGGAAAAAGCTTTTTCTTTTTTAGTTGCATGCTAAAAAACAATATTTCCACCTGCAAAACAATGAATTGCACCTTATTGGAGGAATGTGGTTTTGGGTTGATTTATATATATGTGTGTGTAAATATATATATATATATATACACACATGCATATGTGGGGGATGTATACTGTTTGATTATTTCTAATTTTGATAAATGGTGTAACTATTAGCTAGTCATGCAATGTATGTATCTTTAAACAGGGTCTTTATTTTTATTTGTATCTTATTTTGTACCATCATTAGTGCCAGATGTTATTACAGAAGATTCAGTCACTGGTGTTTGATGTGTCACAACCTCACAAAGCAGTATCAGAAATAAACTACAGATCGGTTGACAGCAAGTTTCCAGAGCTGGAATTATACTGGCTTCAACCCAGTGAGACTTGATGGTGCATGTACCTCTACCTGTTAAGCCTTAATGGGTTCAAGCAGTCAACATCTACCACCTAAAATCAAACATAATTTGATTATTTTTAAAGATGTGGAGATGGTATTTCGAATAGCTTTGACGAATACAACCAAAAAACCTGTCTCGGCCCAGTTGTTTTTAGGGCAAACACAAGTTTTTCAGCTAACAGAAAATGTATTCAATGGTTAATGAAATGCAACTGGCTGACTAGCTGCTGCTGCTTAGTGAAGCATTGTTTCCATCACCTCGGACACACACTGGCCCCTTCTCACAGTGACCACTAGAAGGCGCTTCGCGTGCACGCCTCAAACGCCGCACAAACATTCCAGCCGCCTTCCGTTCATATCTGTCCTTGCCAAATTAACAAAAGGAAGTACAGAAAACACACACACACACACACACACACGTCGACAGTACAGCCTTGGCTGAGGACTGGCGCCCGGCACGCTGCTGCCGCCCGGCCTTATGTCCTCCAGGCAGACCGGTGTCTGCAGCCAATTAACCAACAGGGCCGCTCGCCAGGGCTAATCCTTCCAACCTTCCCACCGGTTTGCCAGAATTAGCCTGTTCTTTACGCAGACTTTGTTGTGCTGAAATGACAGAAATAAGTCCATACGTTTTAAAGTGTAAGATGGGGAATTTGGGAGTGTTCTGATTAAAAAATGCTGGTGAAATTGAAGGAGTTGGAGCACATTGTCTTTCTTTTTTCATCTTATATTTCAACAGTTGCTAAATGAGTGCAGACTACTCACCTGCCTGAGTAGATCTCTGCTGCTTTTGATGGGAAACTGGATAAAGGTGAAGCTCCTTCAAACACATTTAAGACATGTTTGCGGAAAAAAAAGCCTCGGAAAATGACAAATATATAACAAGATGACTTTCCTTCTTGACCTTATATTGTGCTGATGTACAATAATGTTGCTCTGTCTCCATGCACTGATGATGATTGTTGAAAGCTGTATCGGTTTTATTTCATTTATGAAATTGTTTGTCTTTTATTTGCTTTTTACGTTTGTGCTGTTATATCTGTTTCATGGTTGGTTGGTTGCGGCTGGAAAGAGTGTGTTTGTATGAAACTGAGTGTGTATGAACTGTGGCCTAGAGTATGTATGTGTGAATTAAGAGAAAGATATAGTGCGTGCTCCCTATTACACATCAGCCTGAGTTCATCAATGTTCCAGTGTGTTCAGGTGTTCCCTTGCCTCTATGACCACTCATCCAAATAAAAGCAAAGGAATGAGAGATGAAGGCTGAGAGCCTTTGCCCTCAGGGGGAAAAACACAAATGAGAGACTTTTAAAAACAAGGATATTTTTCTCCTCTGTGGGGTCACAAAGAAGAGTGTACATTTCTAAGTTACGTGAAACTAATAAAAAAAAGAACTCAATATGAATGGCTGTATGTTAACCATGATTAAAAAAAATAACAAGTTCTATGACATAGACATATAATAAATTAATTTAAAGAAATTCAACTCTGCCGTGTTTGTTTCTGACTTTGGTGGGGATGAGAAAGCGTGTGTGTACACTAGATTCCCCGCTCACTTTCTGGATTTCGGTAACTTGCGTCATCCATCACTCATCTCACTAGAGGGCAGCACTGTAAAACACATCATTGCATCTCATTAGGGGGCATTATGGTAAAAAAATAATTTTAGTTTGAATTTATTTGGGAGACAACTGCAGTACTGGATGGTCAAAACCACTAATTGTAAGATACATTTGATTTGACTTACAGATGTATGTAAATTAATCACGAATAAACTGAAATGCTTTTTGCTGCTATTCCTGGTAATGCTGATTGATAAGAAATACATTTTTTAACTCCAGTTGTCTAAGGTAGAGTTCCAGTTTACTGTAAAATAGAGGTAAACTAATGTTTAACGAACACTTGTAGATATGGACATGAACTACTGGACTACATGATATGAAAATGGGTGGAGGGAGGGAAAGTCAGTCATTTGAGGCCATGACACCAAAAGGACATCCATCTGGAAGGAACTAGTTTTTTGGTTTAAATCCAGTTAATGGTTCAGTGAAAGTGCCAGAACAGCCACAGTGGACGAGCGTAACAACACCCTGCCCAGCCACACACTCCAAGGAATGTACCGCTGCAGTTTTTTCTCTGTCTGAAGGGGAGACAACAATTGACAACTTTGAATATGTGAGGACACAAAAAGTAAACATATGGGCATCTGGATGCACAAAGCATAGTATACAGACATACATAAAGTATGCACATATGCAGGAAGCCTGACAGAGTTGATGTACGTGGTAATAAACGCCAGGGCAGAAAAACAGGTTGGGCTTTTGT